ATGAGTCAAGTAGCCATGAGAGAAATTGTTCAAAATGAAGTCAAAGGATAACATGGGATCAAGGCAGACAAAAAGGCTCTGCTTCTCCAAGCGCTGATATATCTGAAAGAAAAGAAAGAACTCAGCTTGTACCTACAGGTTTCTTTTCATGAGAGAATAGATAAGTCTAGCCAGAACATGGACCTGAGCCATGATTTGGATCCCAAGGGCTCAAAAGTAGGCTAAATAGTCTACTCAAAGTAAGCCTAGGTCAGATCTGGGCCAAGTCCTCAGGGAGAGCTAAGAGTCAAGCCAGGGAATCTAAATACCAGTACCAAATCTCAAGAAATAGAAGTGAATTCTTTTTTTTTTTTTTTCCTTTGTTTCCTTAGTCTAGCTTGCTTTTTTTTTTTTTAATTTCAATTGTTATATGTCTTTTCTTCTTTTATTTTACATATTATTATTATTGTTTTTTATTTTAGCATATTATGGGGGTACAAGTGTTAAGGTTACATATATTGCCCATGCCCCCCTACTGTCTCGAGTAAGAGCTTCAAGTATGTCTATCCCCCAAATGTCTTTTTTTTAATTATTATTAACACATAATAATTATACAGACTTATGGAATATAACATGATGTTTTAGCTTTGGGCAGTGGCAGTATCGTAGCCAATGAGGTTTATCCAAGGTGTGATTATTGCTAATTGAAAACTTTTCCCAATATCCCACCATAACAATTTGCAATATAGTCAGCATTGGCAGTTTCTGATGGTCCCTACAGGGACTGAATGGAAAAAAAAAGACAACATGTTTTTTTTTGTTTTTGTTTTTTTTTTTTTTTTTTGAGACAGAGTCTCACTTTGTTGTCCAGGCTAGAGTGAGTGCCGTGGCGTCAGCCTAGCTCACAGCAACCTCAAACTCCTGGGCTCGAGTGATCCTTCTGCCTCAGCCTCCCGAGTAGCTGGGACTACAGGCATGCGCCACTATGCCCGGCTAATTTTTTTTTTTATATATATATCAGTTGGCCAATTAATTTCTTTCTGTTTATAGTAGAGACGAGGTCTCGCTCTTGCTCAGGCTGGTTTTGAACTCCTGACCTTGAGCAATCCGCCCGCCTCGGCCTCCCAAGAGCTAGGATTACAGGCGTGAGCCACAGCACCCGGCCGACAACATGTTTTGATACATATATACATTGTGTAATGATCAAATCAGGGTAATTAGTATATCACCCTAAACATTCATCATTTTTGGTGATGAGAACATTCAAAAACCTCTCTTCTAGCTATTTTGAAATATATAATGCATTATTGTTAACTCTAGTCATCCTACTAAGATAGAACACCAGAACGTATTCCTATCTAACTATTGCTCTGTACTCATTGGCCAATCTCTCATCACCCCCAACCCTGCCCTTCCTCATTCTTTGGTGTTCACTGTTCTACTCTCTACTCCTATGAGAATACTTTTTAGATTCCACATAGGAGTGAGATCATGCAGCATTTGTTTCTCTGTGCCTGGCTTATTTCACTTAACATAATGTCCTCCAGGTTCATCCATTTTGCCACAGATGACAGGATTTCCTTCTTTAAGGTTGAATAGTATTTTGTATATATTGTTTCTATATACCACATTTTATTTATTCATTCATTTGTTGATGGACACTTAGGTTGATTTTATATCTTGGCTATTGTGAATGGTGCTGCAATAAACATGAAAGTGCAGGTATCTCTTCAACATACTGATTTCATTTCCTTTGGGTATATATTCAGTAGTGGGATTGCTCAATCATGGTAGTTCTATTTTTTGAGGGATCTCTGTACTGTTTTCCATAATAGCTGTATTAATTTACATTCCCACCAGCATGTGTAAGGTTTCCCATTTCTCCATATCATCACCAACATTTGTTACCTTTAATAAGAAACAGAGCCAACAATCAAGATCCGAGTGAAAGGTAATTAGAAAGGGAACACATCAGAAGGGTACATACTGACTATTGCAAATAGTCTTTGACTCTCTTCATACCAGTTTTGTGGGTTTATGCTTAGATTTGCTTAAAAGTACAGAGACAGGTCAGCCAGAAACTGAGTAGTTTTAAAATGGTAAGAGAGTGACTGCAAGGGCAGGAAATGAAACATTGTGCCTGTAAAGAAGAGTGACAACAGAGATCCCAAATGCGATTTCTCACTGTTTTAAAACCTATGCCAAGTAGATTGAGATACATATGAAATTGTGTATATGTACTTGATAAATAATCTGTACTCTGAAATTTCTTCATATTGTAGTAGAAAATAGTGGAGTATTTGAATAGATACTCTAAATAGGATAGGCTGTATGTATTCCATGACTGCTATCTGGGAAAGATACTGGAAAAGGAAAAAAAAAAAAAAAGTGAGGAAATTCTTTTGAATTTGGGGTCTAAATCCATAGAAGAGAAATTTCTTCCCTTTTGAGCCCTAAGGATGATGGTAGTGAACTATTAACCCAGAGGAGCAACAATAGGAATCCCTCTCAGAGAGCTTCCTACTTGAGAGCTATCTGGGAGGTTCTCCATATCATCATAGTCCCTATTCGATGTGCACAGTAGAGTTCTTAGACATTGGACATGGTTGTTGTAAGGTACTAAAGAGATAATGTATGTGAAACCATCTTGTAAGTTGTAAAGTATTATACAGATGTTAGTTATGTCCTCGAAATCCAGTGCCCACCAGAGCTCTTGCCAGACTTTCAAACCAAGCCATTTCTTCCTATGATTTCCATATCCCTGTTAAGAGTGTCACTGCTTTCAGTCTCTCATACTAATTCCAACTCTTATTTATTTTTCAGGGACTTTTGCAAATGTTACCTCCTTTATGAAATCTTTCCTGATTTTTCAACAACCAGATACACTTTCTCTTCCCTTTGTCTCCCTTTCCCCTGATTTCACTGATTTTCAGCTTTTGTGTTTTGGTTTATTTTGTCTTTTCTATACATATTTTTTGTTATAATACCACATATTTGTTCCCGAAAAATCTCATGTTATACAAAATCATACACTAAAAATAAACAAGGGTATGGGAAAATAGGGTTATAATCAGAGTACTTAAATTTTATGTAACTAAAAAAAGGGGAAAAAAATCTATGTAACATAATCAGAGCCCTAATAAAAATAACAATCCTAATAAAAATATTAGTATTTTTGGCATTAGTATTATTAGCATATAATATAAATATTAGTATTATTGCCATTTGCACCTAGAAATACCTTCAGTTCATCCTCTGCAGTTTTATTCCTGAGGTTCGTATTTTCTTCTTCAAATTTTAAGTTCTTTTTTTTTTTTTTTTTTTCTTTTGAGAAATTTGGTGGGTGAATAAATTTTAAGTTCTTGAAAATATTTGTTTCTCACAGAGACAATTTCATCAAAATTAAAAATGCCTTATGGAGATAGCCTTCTTCATCAATCAGTGTTTGGTTATTATTTTGTTTTATTTTACTTTTTTTTTTTTTTTTTTGAGACAGAGTCTCGCTTTGTTGCCTAGGCTAGAGTGAGTGCCGTGGCGTCAGCCTAGCTCACAGCAACCTCAAACTCCTGGGCTCAAGCAATCCTTCTGCCTCAGCCTCCCGAGTAGCTGGGACTACAGGCATGCGCCACCATGCCCGGCTACTTTTTTCTATATATATTAGTTGGCCAATTAGTTTCTTTCTATTTATGGTAGAGACGGGGTCTCGCTCTTGCTCAGGCTGGTTTCAAACTCTGGACCTCGAGCAATCCGCCCGCCTCGGCCTCCCAGAGAGCTAGGATTACAGGCGTGAGCCACCGCGCCCGGCCGTTTTATTTTACTTTTTAACACAGTGCAAAATATTAACATCCTTTTCATTTGTACCTGCCCTTTCCCTAGATAGTTTAACATAGTAGAAAGTACAGCAGTTCTTGAAACTACAAAACCAGATACTTCTTGCAGAAAAGACTTCTGAGGATTTTCATCTTTTTTTCTTAACATATTGGTGAAGCTTCCTCTTTAATCATGAGGAACCCTGTCCATGCTGTAAAAATTACATAGGAGCCAATGTGCCTTCTCTGTTAAACTGACACGATTTCCATATTTATCAATCTCATAAAGCTAAAGTACATTTTAAAAAATTCTTTATAGCAGAATAGATTATATTACTTTCATCACCTTTCACCCCATTGCCAGTGAACTCACTGAAGACAGGAATTGTCTCTAATTCATCTGTGTGCCCCCAACAGTGCCTGGCATAGTACCAAATGGGGGCTCAAAAAGTATTTGTTGACTTGAATTAAATTATATATTCTGCTGCATAATAAATACAAATCTGTACTACATCGAAGGTTTGTAATGTAAGGATTGGCAAAACCTGAACATGATTTCTCCTGGCTCCCTTTCTTGTCAGTACCTGCCTTTTAAAATTATAAGTACTCAATTTAGAGATTATATACTATTATATACTCATATCTCGGTCAACCATTTTGAAACACATTGATACTTCTGATGCTTCTTTGTGATTAACCCTAGTCCTATGTAAAATTCTACCAACTTGTCTCCATTTCACTGGTCAATCACTAACAGTAAGAGAAAGCAGTAGCTAGGAATCCAGATCTAAGGAAAAAAGAAAAAAAAGAAAAGAAAAAAAAAGCAGTAGGGTTTTACAGTTTAACTGGTCAGTTATATTGTGTGTTCACTTGATTGAAGTGGGAGAAATAGTATATGTTCCTTCTTTCAGCAAGGAAATTACAACTCAGGCTATTGGAAAAGAAAAACTATTCATTATTAGGTTCATTCTTGTCCTAAAGCAGTTACAATGGGAATATATTTCCTTATTTAATTCTTATCTTGGACAAAAGACATTTAATTTTCTATAGTTGAGACAGTTGCTAAATGTATGACCTGTACATTGTCATAGTAGTAATCTCAGCCATGAACTCAGATTTGTCACTACCATTCAATAATTATTCGATCTAAGGCATTATACAACAGATCCCTTAAGTGAAAGGGGGATAAATGCCACCTCTGTCTTTCTTCAGAATGTAAAAAGGCTCCTGCAGAACCCAAAAGTGACAGAGTTTGATGCTGCCCGCCTGGTGATGCTTTATGCTTTACATTATGAACGACACAGCAGCAATAGCCTGCCAGGACTAATGATGGACCTCAGGAATAAAGGTGTTTCTGAGAAGTATCGAAAGGTAACTGAATTTACATATTAAGCCCACCAAATGGGAACCAACTCTATTATTATATTCTTAGCTCTAACAAATGTTAAATTATACTCTTTTTATTTATAGAAATATATAATTGTTTGTTCTTATTTCTTCATTTCCTTAGTAAAGCTATTTTCTTATGAAATGAACTTTCTGATCCCTAAGCAATAAAAGTTGCTTTTCTTTTTTTTACAGCTCGTGTCTGCAGTTGTTGAGTATGGTGGTAAACGAGTCAGAGGAAGTGACCTCTTCAGCCCCAAAGATGCTGTGGCCATCACTAAACAGTTCCTTAAAGGATTGAAGGTATAGACAATCTCCACTATACTTTCCTAAGTGACAAACAGTTGAAGCCCCTGAGAGTGAATGAATATGATCTTCAAAGTATCTTCAAGATTGCTGCTGATTTAGTACTATGTCAATTAAATCAAAGCAGACATCCTCTTGAAAGCTATTTTTTTTAGTGCTTTCTATATTGGAGCAGTATCAGCATTGGACCAAATAGCTGAGCAGAAAATAACTGGAGATATTTCCAGGAAATACTCAAGAGTAAAAAGATAAACAATTCTTTTAGTCACAGTTATTTTACTCCATTTATTTATAATTTAAGATTTGGTAGGCAGTTTCTCTTTGAAGGAAATTAAAGATGAAGCAAACATTTGTTGATCTTTTACAAATACGAACCTGTCTTCTTAAAGTGGTCAAAAATTAATTTTAATTTGCTAGCCTGCCGGGCGTGGTGGCTCACGCCTGTAATCCTAGCACTCTGGGAGGCTGAGGCAGGTGGATTGCTTGAGGTCAGGAGTTCGAAACCAGCCTGAGCAAGAGCGAGACCCCGTCTCTACTATAAATAGAAAGAAATTAATTGGCCAACTAATATATATATATAGAAAAAATTTAGCCGGGCATGGTGGCGCATGCCTGTAGTCCCAGCTACTCGGGAGGCTGAGGCAGTAGGATCACTTGAGCCCAGAAGTTTGAGGTTGCTGTGAGCTAGGCTGACGCCACGGCACTCACTCTAGCCTGGGCAACAAAGTGAGACTCTGTCTCAAAAAAAATTAAAAAAAAAGTTAAAAAAAAAATTTTGCTAGCCTTTCTTATGTTTCCTGAAGTTTTTCTGTTTTCCTGGGTGTTTCCAATCTCCTCTTATATGTAATTTTTTCCTTTTATTTGATCTACCTGTCACTTAACATTTTCACAAAAGAATGAGAATCAGTGAAGACAATGATTTCTTCAGTGAAGACAAAGGATTTAAGCAATTCTATTTTTAAAATTCCTTTACAATAGCTAACCCTAAATTACAGAGTATTTTTAATGAGATTTTTCTGATGGATTAAAATAATTTTTAAATTTCCTAAAATTCCTATTGAATCTATCTCTTGAAATCTCTATTGAGTGTATATCCTTTTCTAATACAAGTGCTATTAACTGTTATATTGTTAGTTTCTCAAATATGACATAAGAACCATTTCCCCCTGTTTTAGGGAGTAGAAAATGTATACACACAGCATCAGCCTTTCCTCCATGAGACCTTGGATCATCTCATCAAAGGAAAGCTTAAAGAAAACCTATATCCTTATCTAGGCCCAAGCACACTCAGAGACAGGTAAGGTAATAAAGATACTACTAATAATAAAACCTGAAAAACTGAGCGAATACGAAATTTAGAGTAATGTTAGGGATTAAAGCTGAGGTTATTTCATTCTGTTCCTCCTTCCCCAGTTGTTTCAGTTTTAAGATTCTTTTGGTTTTCATATATCGACATTAGATATGAATTCTCCTGCTAAGCCTGAAACATTTATTTGTTTTGTACTAAAGAGACAGTGTTTTGAAGGGCTCCAAATCCTCATATTCTGTGTTTTAGTATCAGACCAGTTTACTTATGTCATTTAAGGTTCAGTACAGAGGCATTTGGAGTTTCAAACATTAAAGCCAAAAATAGATTTGCTGCTTGATTGCCATCCAGAACAGGTTGTTACTATTTGGAGTGAGGACTGGACTTTGCCAAATGTGGCCAGCACACAAACTGAGAGACCTATTTAATAAAGGCCATTTGTTACACAAGGGAAAAGGATGGCTTTCTTTTCTAGTATTAACAAAAGGAAGAAATTACTTATCATATTAATCTAGTGGTTGGTTAATTTCAATATAAACAAAACTTGTCCAGAACAACTTACTTAGGCCAACTTGAAATTTGAAATACTATATGCACAAGTTCTACCTATTTAAAACTTATATTCATATATTTTTTTTGTTTGGACCACATGTTATAAAGGGCCTAACATATGTCATTGAATCTTGTTGGATAGATTAATGTGAAAATTTTACTGTTGGTATAATTCTTCTATTATTTCAGCTAATAATAATCTAAGAGCCATGGAAGTATAGTGTTTTATAAATATAACAAATTTCTGAAAGGAGAAAATATTTTGAGGTACATTGATGACTTTTTTATATGGTAAAGTATATTTTTTCACTTTGTCCCTTTAAAAAAAAATCTCTGTAATTTGATATGGAACAGAAAAAAATCATCTTTTAAAAATTCAAGGTTGAAAGGCAGAATTTAACATCTGGTGTTAAATTCAGAGAGTACACTCATTGAGATAAAATGTTTAAGGACCTTGGCATTAGGATTCAGAAATGTCAGCTAAGTGAGAAGAATAAAAACCAGCCCAGAGTTATTCAACTATCTGAGAGGCTTTTTTTTTTTTTTTTTTTTTTTTTGAGACAGAGTCTCGCTTATTGACCAGGCTAGAGTGAGTGCCGTGGCGTCAGCCTAGCTCACAGCAACCTCAAACTCCTGGGCTCAAGCAATCCTTCTGCCTCAGCCTCCCGAGTAGCTGGGACTACAGGCATGCGCCACCATGCCCGGCTAATTTTATATATATATTAGTTGGCCAATTAATTTCTTTCTATTTATAGTAGAGACGGGGTCTCGCTCTTGCTCAGGCTGGTTTCGAACTCCTGACCTCGAGCAATCCGCCCGCCTCAGCCTCCCAGAGTGCTAGGATTACAGGTGTGAGCCACCGCGCCCGGCTCTGAGAGGCTTTTTGAAAAAATAAAGGGGACAGAGAAATGGGCTGGTATCTAGAAGAGATTGTGAATTTAGAGGAAAGAGAGATTCAAGAGCTTATTTGTAATCTGATGAGAATTACACAGTAAAGAAGAAAGAATAGATAATGCAGAAGAGAAAAAGGAGGAGCAGTGAAAGTGAAGTCCTTGGGGCATCCAGAGCACAGAGGGCTTGCCTTCAATAGAAACAGAGTTACTTCTTATACTTTACCAGGAAGAAAACAATATATATAGATACAATAGGTTTATAGTTTTGATGGTGAGAACATGGGACCTATCATGTCTAATTTTCTCAGTAAAATACAATGCCAAATTATCAGCTAAAGTAAAGGCTAAAAAGAGAAAACATTGTGAAATTGTCATAGGCTAGGAATCAAATTTGCTAGGGAAATGTAAATCGGACTTCCAGGCAAGGTTGAGTGCCGTTTTGAGTTTTATGGTCATTAGTTTAAAATACAGCCAGTGAGCCCCGTTGTGTATTTTTTTTCCCAGCAACTTTAGCTCTTCTGGATTAAATGTGGAAAAGGTATTTAGTTGGGTCCAATCAGGATTTGGGGAAATGAAAACAGGAAGACGGTATTGGATAGTGAAAAAAGTATTTGTGAATGAATTGAAGGTTTGATGAGGTCAAATAATTATTTCAGAAGGGTATTAGTATGGGTGAATTAGAAGTTGAGAGGCACACCTGTAATCCTAGCACTCTGGGAGGCTGAGGCGGGAGGATAACTCGAGATCAGGAATTTGAGACCAGCCTGAGCGAGAGCCAGACCCCGTCTCTACTAAAAATAGATAGAAATTAGCTGGACAACTAAAATACATAGAAAAAATTAGCCAGGCATGGTAGCACATGCCTGTAGTCCCAGCTACTCGGGAGGCTGAGGCAGCAGGATTGCTTAAACCCAGGAGTTTGAGGTTGCTGTGAGCTAGGCTGATGCCACGGCACTCTAGCCCGTGCAACAGAGTGAGACTCTGTCTCCAAAAAAAAAAAAAAGGAAGTTGAGAGGGGGTTTACTGGAAAAGGGATCTTGAATTCAAGATTTCATAGATAATGCAGATACTTGTAATAAAGAAGTTTAGGTTTTAATCATGGATATGGGTTGTTTTGGCTGTAGAAGAAAAGGTCAGTGTGGGTGAGGTGACCAGTGACCAGGATATTAGATGAGTAATCTACACATTAAAGTCACTAAAATCTTGAAGAAAGAGAGAGTAAAAAGGAGGACAGTAAACCTGAGCTAAAGTCTTCAGGGAATAAGAGTGACCAGGAAAGGAGGTCAGGAGAAAACAGTGCAACTACATTATGAGCTTCTAAAATAGTGGAAATTTTGAGGAAGAAGGCAGAGAAATGGTTACAAAACTACATTGGGGGTTGGGGGAAGAGAAGATTCCTACGCCACCTCCTGGCCCTGCTTAACAGAAGGAAAATGCAGGACTTGAAAGACTCCTACTTAACAATTCTACTTTTAAAATTTTACCATATAGATATTCTTGCACAAATACACAAGATATTTAAAAAAGGATGTTCACTGAAACATTATTTGTAATGGCAAAACACTGGAAACAAGCTAAATATCCATCAATAGAGGACTGGTTACCTAAATTACAGTATAATACTATACATTCTCTTTTTTTAAAGAAATGGCATGACTCTTCAGAGGGTAATATGCAAAGCTTTGTAAGATATCTTGGTTAGAAATGCAAGGTGCTATAATATCCTTCTTGATAAAAAGCTATACAAAGGCCGGGCGCGGTGGCTCACGTCTGTAATCCTAGCTCTTGGGAGGCCGAGGCGGGCGGATTGCTCAAGGTCAGGAGTTAAAACCAGCCTGAGCAAGAGCGAGACCCCGTCTCTACTATAAATAGAAATAAATTAATTGGCCAACTGATATATATATATAAAAAATTAGCCGGGCATGGTGGCGCATGCCTGTAGTCCCAGCTACTCGGGAGGCTGAGGCAGAAGGATCGCTCGAGCCCAGGAGTTTGAGGTTGCTGTGAGCTAGGCTGACGCCACGGCACTCACTCTAGCCAAAAAAAAAAAAAAAAAAAAAAAAAAAGCTATATAAGCATGAATGTGACTATATACATGTTATATAAATATGTGCTTGACTATACATATATACATAATATGTATATAATATATATATACAAGTACATATATGTATATATACAGTAACTGTTTCTGAAAGAATAAACAAGAAATTCCTAATAGTTGTTAGCTCTGGATATTGAGACAGTAGTTAGTTGTATACATATTTGTCCTACCCCTTAGTTGTTGTATTAGGTATTGTAATCTTGAAGTGAGAAATTATATTTTGTTAATTTAGGGAGTTTTCACAACATTTAACACAGTGCTTTACAAACAGTAGGTGTTAAATAGATGTTTGTTCAATTATCTAGATATCTATACTAGTTGATATGCCAAAATTTACAACTGGAAAATTTAATCCAGAAAATAAATTTAATTGATGCCACAGAAAATTTAGATTTTTATAGTTTGTGAGCAACCCTATACGGTATTTTGGCTCTGCATTCACTTGGCACCACTCTCAGCTCTAGCCACTTTCATGGTCCTGGATCTTCACATGGAGAAGAGCCATTTATTTTAGTCATCTTTATGATAGTTTAAGTCTCAAATAGAATTCCTTGGTTTTATTATTGTTGTTGTAATATTAGAAAGTATCAAACTAAATGTGGCAAGAACACAACTTTGTAAAACCAGAATACTTATAGAAATTTTTTAGCCCTTAGTTATTAAATTAGTGGTTAACCTGTTTGGCAGTGTAGATATATCCGCAAATTGGGTTTGATCTTTCTCCTCCAGATGAATTCCCACATATCCAATTTTTCAGGCCAATTTTTTTTTCTCACTTCAAAATTGCTTCTTGTCTCTGACTTAAAAAAAAAAAAAAAAAGGAACTTTTTCATTTGATGAGAAAATGGAGCTATGATGGAGAATGATCTTACATTCCAGAATCAGTCAATTCAAAAAGGAAATACTTTTCACATTTATACAAATGTAGTAGAATCTTGTTGCAGCAGCTTATTTTCATTTCTATAAAGCGGCATTTCTTTTTTATTGGCCTTTTTTCCTGTAGTAAATATTCATGAGGACTTAAGGACTTCATCACCTATAAATATATTTAAAAATGTGCATTTTAGCCATAAATATGATATCAACAGACTATTAATAGATAAAATGTTGTCATTTTAAAGTTTGTTTTCCATCTAACTCATCCACATTTAGAAATAATGATTTCCAGAAATCCTACATGTGAAAATTTTTATTTATTCTTCTAACAAACTAAGATACAAATTTGTTATCCTTATATATACAGCATAAACTGGCTACTGTTTTCTAATGTTTGCTGTCTGCATTAATTAATGCTTTGGGTTGCTATGGTAAATTCCAGAGCACAGGAATATGTGCACAAAGAATTGAACTTGTGTATTCCACTTAGGTTCATCATGTTAAAAAGATTTGCTATATATTTTACCATCGGCCTCATCAGAACATCTACTTTTAAAATTCAGTGGGGAAAGGAATGAAAAGGAAAAATGTAAGGGATGTCTTAAAATAATTTTTTTCATAGATTTTCTTCCTTAATCCAGCTTCAATACATAATAGGAGGTGCAGGAAAATATTTATTAATGTTTTCATAACCAAATATGACATAGTCATCTTTGTTAGGTATACAATTGAGCCAAGCTCTAAGAGCCTATCCCTGCTTCTAGGTTTTATCCTTTTATTTATATAACCTACACCCACAGTTTACCATCCATGACATTTTCTTTCCTCTCCAGTAATACAAAAATACCCTGGTACCCTGAAATTATCAGACTAAAGGACAGTGTTCTCTAGCTGTGCTAAAAGCTTACTTGAGTTTATTCTTGCCTTTCTTTGCCATAAGAGACAGATGTACTCTCAAGGCCAGGATGGTGAGAGGGTAGCTATGGAGAAGCAACATCATTTCCCAGGATTATCATTATCCTCATTTGTCTGCTCAGCAGCTTTTTAAATTGATTTATCAGATCAAGGGCTCAAAACAGAAGTGTTATTGTCTGATTTCTCTCATCAGTCACCAAGATGGTCACTGTATCCCTGCAAAGGAAAAACCCCACCCTACTTCTTAATAAAATAATCTGTGCAATTCATGAGTATTTACTTACTCATAAACTGCGTAACAGGCCTCAGAATAGAATTGTCCCTTACCTGAGGAACATTGTATATCGAATCTTACTGTAAAAAAAATCCTCATTTTTTTGTGAATATAATGTCTTTTCAGCCTTGAGTATTTCATTATTTCTGAACACTTTAACTGCCTTTTATTTTTCTGCTTTCCACATAGTCTGACCCCCAAATAGTTACAACACTGACCTAACTATTGGTAGAGTTCTGTCTGTCTCCTCATGGCACATTCTTAGAACATTGGATTTTTTTCCCCACAGAACTCATCTTTTACATCCTTATGAGTATTAAAGCAGTGGTGACTACACTTGAGAAGCCTTTATTATCTCAGATCATTGGTACTTCTAAAACCAATAGAGTGGGAAGAATTAAGAATTTACATCCATAGAAATGTAATGTTAAAAAGATACCCATTTCTGTATACCATTGAGAGTAATACTACAAGTATTACTTATAAGTTATATAAGTTTTTAAAATTATAGCCACTGTAGCTATTCAATCCCCCTTCCCATCAAATATATTCCTAAAGATCCTGACAAGAACTGAACTTTAGCTGTTCATATTCATTCATTTCTGTTTTCTTTCTGTAGAACTGTTAGTAAGAATTGAAACAACACGTATCTGTTGGAGAAAAAGAAGAGAACTTGTGTTTTGCTTAAATATTCAGTCCCTGTATAATCAAGAAATTATCATACTCAGTAGGAAAATATTAGTATCATAATCATACAACCCTTCCTAATTAAATTACTTTTCTCAGCAAGAAAAAACTGGCCAGTAACTGAAGGAGAAGACTTGAAGAAAGAATACTTGGTAGTGTAGAACACTTCAGTGGTTCATGGAGACTGGTAATACTTTTCTACAGGTTTATGAAAAACCTCTTTTCCTGCAGCCGAAAGCACCAGATTAATAATGAATTAATAACTTAGCCTCAGGCTTATATCTACTTCAGTGTACTACTAGAGAAAACCACACAAATTATAGATTGGTGCCACCACAAATTCATTGTTTCTAACCTTACTTCGGCCTTCAGAGATACTCAAACTTTTATGTATCCCTAGTTCTCTCTGTCTCATTCTCCACATCAGTTTTGAATGTTTTCTCCATTCTCTCCAAGTCACATAGCTCACCCCAGTGTTTTCTGCTTCACAGAGAAAAAAATTGAATCTGTCAAACATTAACTCCCTCAATGTCCAGCCCCATACTTATTAATATAAACTTATTTGCATATACCCACCTCTACCGCCTTCCTTCATTCTGAGGGAAGTACATCCTTTTTCCTATTTAGAACTAACCTCTCTGCCAGCACTCTTGTTTATAGACTCCTATCATGTTTTTGGAAGTTTTTCTCTGTTGAGTATTTGCTTCTCTCTCTCCCCACCCTCTTTGTTTCTCTCTCTCTTCCTTCCCCTCTCCCCTTCTGTGTCTTCCACCCCTCCCTGACTTCCTCCCTCCTCCATATATTTTCAGCTTCTTCTTCATTGACTTCTTTCCTACAGGCTATAAGCATACACAAGCTTCCCCAGTTGAACAAATAATAAATTTAAAGCCTTTGAACCTGACTTCTCCAAGCTATGTACTTCCTTTCACAGCCAAGTGTCTTAGATTTAGAAGCCCACAGTCACTGTCTTCACTTCTCAGCTCTTCAACCCACAGACCCTGGCTCCTTACTCCACTACCACACACTAAAACTGTTTTTGCTCACACTGGTAAATCCATTGGACTCTTTAAATTCTCACCTTATTTATGCCATTACTGCATTTAATACTGTTAACCATTCTTTTCTTCTTAAAACTCGCTTGTTCCTTGGCTTCTTTCTTCTGGTTCTCCTCCTACCTTTCTGAAAATGTCCTTCCTAGTTGCTTTGCTGGCTGATCTTCTTGCTTATTCTGAAGATATTAGGGGCTCACCCAAAATTCTATCTTTTGGTTCTCCTTTCATTTTATAGGATCTCCCTAGGGAAAACTCATCTATTCCTATGGCTTCAGTTACCACCTATATTCAGGAAAAGCACCAGGACTGAAAATCCAGATATCTAGTAGACATCTCCATTAGGATATTCCACAGGTATCTAAAAAGCAACATGTTTTTGCCTTATTCTCAGTAAATCAGTCTTTCTTTCTTCTCAGACCTACGCTACTACACCTAGTCACCAAAACCAGAAAACTTAAAAGTTGTCATGGACTCCTTCTTTTTGCTCATCCTCCATTTTCAATCATTGACCAAATACTGAAGGGTCTATATTTTTTGTGACTTCTATATCTTCTGTTGAGTTTCTGCTTCCTCAACTATGATTTTTGTCTTGCAAAATTGTAAGTGAAGTGCCTGATAAAGGTAGGTACTCAATAAATGGTTACTATTGGCACATGGTCCTTTGAGGAACAGAAAATGGAATGATGTTCACTCATTCAGTCATTTGTTGCACAAGTATTTATTAACTATTCACTGTGTGTTAGATACTATTCTAGGATTGGAGATTCGGCAATGAGTAACCGAAAAAAAAAAAACTAAAATCCCTAACCTCTTAAAGTTTATTTTCTAGTGATATGTGTAACTAGAAAATGAGAGAACAGAGTATAACAGAGAACAAGGCTAGAAAAATAGACTAAGGGCTAGTTAAGAAAGACATTAACTAAGCATTGCTCCAACTGCCTTTATTTTTTGTAAGAGAAAGGGCTGTGTTTTGGAAGATAAAAGTGGCTGACAAATGAAGCATAAGTGAAGTACCAATAAGTCATTACTATAATAGGACTCTGGCAACCAGGCAGGGGAAATTGAGTAAAGGGATAAAATCAAGATAGTCCAGAGATAAAACTGACAGAAATCAGTGGCCAACTGAATAAGGATAGAAGAAGAAAAAATAAAAGATGTTTCAAAGTTTCATACTTGGGTGACTGGGTATAATTTATCCACAATTGGATAAATTGTGCCCATAGTAGGCTGAATAATGCCCCGTCAAGATGTTCACACTCTAATTCCTGGAACATATAAGTATGTTACCTTACTTGGTAAAGAGTTTGCAAATACGATTAAGGGTATGGAGCTTGAGATAGGGAGATTATCCAGGTGGGCCCAATCTAATCACAAGTCCATAAAATCGGAGAGCCTTTCCCTGACTGTTATCATAGAGAGAAGTGACAACAGCAGGGTAAGAGACATGAAACACTGCTGGCTTTAAAGATGGATGAAGGAGGCCATAGCCAAGGGATGCAGGCAGCCTTTAGAAGCTGCAAAAGTCAAGGAAATAGATTCTACCCTAGAGCTTCCAAAAAGAACACAGCCCTCTGACACCTTGGTTTTAGTCCAGTTGAGACCCCATGGCAGACTTTTGACCTCCAGAACTATGAGGTAATAAATTTGTATTGTTGAAGCCACTGTTTGTAGTCATTTGTTTCAGCAGCAATAGAAAACTAATACAGTACCGTTGATCAAAATAGGGAATATAAGAAGAGTAGCAGATTAAAGGTAGAAACTGAATAGTAGAGTTTAGTTTTAGACATGATTAGTCTGAAATGTCTGTGGTGTACAGATATGTGGATTTGGAACCAAGGATGCAGATTAAGCCTAAAGATAAAGGTTTGGTGTCATGACAGCATGATTGTTCAATCTAGGTAAAATATGCAGAATTTTTTAAAATGAGGATCAAAACAGGATGTTGAGGCCGGGTGTGGTGGCTCATGCCTGTAATCCTAGCACTCTGGGAGGCTGAAGCAGGCAGATTGCTCGAGGTCAGGGGTTCAAAACCAGCCTGAGGAAGAGTGAGATCCCGTCTCTACTATAAATAGAAAGAAATTAATTGGCCAACTAATATATATAGAAAAAATGAGCCAAGCATGGTGGTGCATGCCTATAGTCCCAGCTACTCGGGAGACTGAGGCAGGAGGATTGCTTGAGCCCAGCAATTTGAGGTTGCTGTGAGCTAGGCTGACACTCTAGCCTGGGTAACAAAGCAAGACTCTGTCTCAAAACAAACAAACAAACAAAAAAAACCAGGATGTTGAGAATAACTCATAAATTGGATAAAGAAAAAGCATTTTTTTAAAAAAGACTATTCGACCAAACCTGCTGCCACCATAATCATCAATGACCTCTATTGATAAATCCAGGGTACACTTTTCAGCCCTAATCTTATTTGACCTATCTGCAGTTTTAAAGACTGTATTAATTTCCTGTTCCTTGAAATACTTGGCTACCATAGCACCATATTCTTCTGGTTTATTGTTACCTTCTGTTCTCCAGCGGTTCCTTCTTTGTTTCCTTTGAGATTTCCTGTTCCTTCATTTCTTCAATGTTAGAGTTCATCAGGTTCCATCCTTTTTTTTTTTTTTTTTTTTTTTTTTTTTTTTTTTTTTTTTTTTTATTCTTTTTATTCCTGCATTTGGTGTCTAACAGGTTCCATCCTTGTCCTCTTTTCTCACACTATACCATTCCAAACTTCACGTGCTGATGATACACAGATCTGTGTCTGTAGTTCAAATTTGTATTGGACAGATCATAATAAGAAGCCATGATGAGATAACACTTTTTCACTTATCAGTTTAGAAGGACCAAAAGCCTTGATAATACACAGTCCTGATAAGGATGTGGAGAAATAAGCACTTTCTTGTATTGCTGCTGGGATGACATCTGTGAAGCAACTTGGCAATATCTTTGAAAGTTTTAAATTCACAGTATATCCAAGATGTGGGCAAGGGGCAGAATGGTGTATATAAAATGCTTCTATTTGTGTTTAAATGTATAGACACACCACACACAGATAATATCTCTGAAAGGATACATAAGAAACAAATAACAGTGTGTGCCTCTGGAAAGGGGGGAGCGGGTAGTACTGGGGGAGAACTGAAGTGATAGGGAAACTTACTTTTTTAGTATATCCTTTTGTATTTTAGACTATGTGTGTGCATTTATCCTGTCAAAACAGTGTTTTCTTAAATAGCAAAAAATTATTGTAGAGCATATAACAGTATATAACTCTTAAAGCACTGTGGTACTAGATACATTGTTTTGGTGGGTAGTCTTTTCTTTTTTGTTTTTTGTTTTTTTCCCTTTTTTCCTACCCTCTTAAGAATGTCTATGATGAGTAGTCTTATTTTTATTTTTATTTTTTTTTTGAGTCAGAGTCTCACTCTGTTGCCTGGGCTAGAGTGCCATGGCGTTAGCCTAGCTCATAGCAACCTCAAACTCCTGGGCTCAAGCAATCTTACTGCCTCAGCCTCCAGAGTAGCTGGGACTACAGGCATGCACCACCATGCCCAGCTAATTTTTTTTCTATATATTTTTAGTTAGCCCATTAATTTCTTTCTATTTTTAGTAGAGACGGGATCTCAGTCTTGCTCAGGCTGGTCTTGAACTCCTGACCTTGAGCAATCCACCCACCTTGGCCTCCCAGAGTGCTAGGATTATAGGCATGAGCCACCATGCCTGGCCTATGGTAGGTAGTCTTAAATGAAGCTTATATTGTCTCAAAAAGTAAATTTAGCATTTCAAATATATGATTTTTAAGTTCTAAGTCCACATAGAAATGTCATATTTGACTCTCTACCTAATTAATTGAAAAATAACAACTTGTTCATTGGGATGATGATACACATTTATATACATTACAATGGGGAATCTCTGCAATTCAGAGACTATCTGAACATTTTAAAATAGCCACAATAGCTGATTCTGTTTCCATGAAGTCACATAAGAACAAATATTCTCTCAGTTAATTCCTTCAAGATATTTTAGAAAAAGACAGGCAAATAAATAGAAGGAAATGTTGGGTTGTTGGGTTTTTTTCCATGATTTATATATATGCATATGTATTCCTTGATTAAAAATGGTTATGTTTAGTTTTGTGCCATATCCTCCAAGATGGATGCTTCTGCTTGATATAGTTTTAAACAGTGTTCAGTGAGTGATTTAACAAAATTAGTTGCCTAGTAAGATTAAGTAATTTTATCTTTTTTTGATGGCATGAGAAAAGAAAAACAAGACAAACTTTAACAGTTTTGAAAATAATATCTCCTTGTTGATATCTATAGAAGGAGTAATAGGAAGAACACTCACTTTTGTTATGAAACCATTTTGATAAGGATTGAAACATAGTAAAAACTGCACAGTGCTACCCAAATGAAGCTAGTGGTTGAGCTGATGTCAGCATGTCCAGTATCAAAACTACTCCCATGGTTTTGTGTTTGTTTCCATAGGGTTTTTGTTGTTTATCAAAGGATTTAGTACAAAGATTTTAAGAAGAGGTGGCATTCCTAGGAGCTTTAATTAATATGCTCCATTCTTTTTTTATACTCAAAATACTAAATATTTCTACTTCCCATGTTATGGGGACGTCCAAATATACCAATACTTTGCAAAATGCTGTATTGCAAAATGCTAAGTATTTGACAGAGGGCTTTATACATGAAAGGAGATGTGTAACACAAACATAAAATACTGCTGTCTTGGTATCATGTCACAGTGAGGCACTCTGCAGCCTCTTGAATATAGAAGAATATTTTCTACATTTGGTTCCAGCAAACACTATTTTGCTATTCTGAAATCCACAGCACAGAAATTATAAGACATCCGCTCATATACAGAAAGCAAATCACTATTCAGCATTTCCTGCTCTGTTTCCTGCCAATTTCAGATAATTAAAACTTTTTTTAAACCTTTTATTCTATTCTGCTTTAATTCTGCTTCCTCCGCTAAAAAGAAAGATTTAGAAATTAAAACTCTGTGTATATAATAATAACAAGTCTTGCCATTTTTTTCCTTATCCTTTGATAATATTTCTTTCTTCATTATCACAGACCTCAGGATATCATTATATTTGTAATTGGAGGAGCCACCTATGAAGAGGCTCTAACGATTTATAACCTGAACCGTACTACTCCTGGAGTAAGGATTGTCCTGGGAGGCACCACAGTACACAACACAAAAAGGTAAAGGAGAACATTCTGTCCTATAACTCTACCTTTCCCTAAAGAATACAGCATAAATTTCCTTCATGTTGAAAAAGTTTGGCCATTGCTAACCATACTGCTGTAGACCAAAATGCTCTGGCATTTGCAGCATCAGTTTGTAGAATAATTTAGAGTTTGAGATGAAGGGTCTATAGTCCATTAAGTTCATAAATCACTTTAATAGGTCAACGACCTGGAGAGTAGGAACCATCTTGCACTGTTAAGAATTTGTGTTACCTATGCCCAAAGAAGGAGAATCCTTTGCACTTACTTCATAAGAAAGGATAAAAAAATTTTTTTAAAAAGAAGGAAAAACCTAATAGCCACAGTTTGGCACTTTGAAAATACCTAAATTTAATAGTAGTGAATTCTGTGAGTTTTTTCTATTTTGTTAATTAACCTTATTCACTCAATAAGTATTTAGTAAGAATAATACAAAGATGAATAAGCTAAAGATCCTACCTTAAGTAAGTCCTTGTCTATTAGGAAAGATAAGACATTAAAATATAAGGAAGTAAGTGCCTGGAGCGACAGATAAAAGACCAAAGGATTCTCAGAGTGGCTAAGGGGAATTAGCAAATGTTTCATGGAGAAGATCATATATAAGCTGAGCCTTGAGTAGAAAATGGATATACAGAGGGAGAGTACATTCTAGGTAGAGTTAACCACATGAACAAGTTATAAAAGCTGTAGGCAGCATAGATACACAAAGAACAGCAAGTAGTCAGCTAGCTGGAATGTGTGTAATGAAGTGAAAAGATTGGTTGAATGCCATAATTGTGGAAGGCCTTGAATGCTAGGCTGAGGAATTTCTACTTTCATATGTAGAAAATGAGGAATTGTTGACAGTTTTTAAGCAGTGAAATTACAAGAGGGTCACAGTATTTTAGGAAGATTAATTTGGCAGCTAAGGGTAGAAGAGAGGAAACTGGAGAACCATGGCAATATGTTTGAATTTAATGATTGGGGACCCTGAGAGATCCATGCTGAGCCACATATGCCTGGATAATTGGGAGTCATTAGAAATGTTTGTGTACTTTTAAATTTTCTCTTATTGTTCAGTTTTTTAACATAACTTTTCTCCTTTATTATGGAATTCATATGAGCTTATTCTGAAATTTTTTAAATTAGGAAAGTATGAAGAGAGCAAAAAGCTCCCATAATCTAACCACTGTTACATCTTGGTCTTCTCAGACATTTTTTTCTAAGTCTGGGTAGACATTTATGTGCATGTGTGAGCAGAAAAGGATTTCATTGTACATTCTGTCTTATAACTTACATTTTCTAGTCTTATGTAAACATCTTTTAGTGTTAAATATGTAATCATTCATTCACTAAGCAAATATTTATTGAAGGGTAAGATTGAAGGGTAAGGATTTGAATTCTGATTTCCCTCTTATTATTTTTGTGAACTTGGGCAAATTACTTATCTGTTTGTCAGTTTCCAGAGCTCACTGGCATTTATATATTTCTTTCGTGAATTGCCAGTTCATGTTCTTTGCCCATTTCACAATTAGAGTATTTTTTTCCTTAATAATTAAAAAAATTCTATGTATATAATTAAGAATATTGACTATTTGTATATTATATGATTAGTAAATCTTTTCCCCCTATTTGATGTTTTTGTTTTATATTCACAGAGTTTTGTTGCATAAAAGTTTTGTTATTGTTGTTTTAATTTTATGTAGTCAAAGCTACCAGTGATTTCTGCTTTTGGTGTCATGCTTGGAAAGTTCTTTCTCAGCCGAGATTATATAAATACTAACTTTTTTTCGTTATTTTTAAGATATATATTTAGGGTTATATCTTTATAATCTATCAGAATTTTATTTTGGTGTAAACTGTACAGTAGGGTTTTCTTTTATAACTTTTATAGAAATACTACATTGAGGCTGGGCACGGTAACTCACGCCTGTAATCCTAGCACTCTGGGAGGCCAAGGCGGGAGGATCGCTCAAGGTTAGGGGTTCAAAACCAGCCTGAGCAAGAGCGAGACCCCCGTCTCTACTAAAAATAGAAAAAAATTAATTGGCCAACTAAAAATATATGGAAAAAAATTAGCCGGGCATGGTGGCGCATGCCTGTAGTCCCAGCTACTCGGGAGGCTGAGGCAGGAGGATTGCTTGAGCCCAGGAGTTTGAGGTTGCTGTGAGTTAGGCTGACAACACAGCACTCTAGCCCAGGCAACAGAGTGAGACTGTGTCTCAAAAAAAAAAAAAAAAAAAAAGAAAAGAAAAGAAAAGAAATACTACATTGAGAGGTTTTTTTCCTCCTGACACCAAATACATGGTGTCTTTTCCAACACCACTTCTCCAATTCTCTGGACACCAACTGCATGTCCAACAACAATTCATTTCAGTTCTGACACTATGTACCTAGAGTTAGCATCAGATCTCACAAGTTAAAAGGGTTCAATACCACAAGACTGCCCCCACTTCAGATACCAGTCACAAGTCCCAGACCACCTGTACTTCTGACTGGCTGTAAATCAGAGGTTTCCAGGACCCCTTCCTCAGATTTGGTAATTTACTAGAAAGGGTCATAGAACTCACGAAAATACTTTATATACATTTGCCAGTTTATCATAAAGAATAAAACCCAAGAATAGCCAAATGGAAGAGATGCATAGGGCAAGGTATAGGGGTGGCATATGGAGTTTTCATGCCCACTCCAAGCACACGACCTTCCTAGCACCTCAATGTGTTATTTACCAACCTGGAAGCTCTCCAGACTCTATTGGTTAGGGAGTTTTTGTGGAAGTTTCATTACATGGACATGGTTGATCAAATCATTGGCCATTGGTGATTGACTTAGTCTCCAGCCATTCTCTTTTCCCTGGAGATTTGAGGGTGGGACTAAAAGTTTTGGGCTTCTAATCAAGACTTGGTCTTTCTAGCAACTAGCCCCCATCCTGAAGCTACTTAAGAGGCCCATGGAGAGCCACCTCATTGGAACAAAAGACACTCCTATCACCCTTATCACTCAGGGAATTCTAAGGGTTATAGGAGCTCTGTGCCAAGACTGAAGACAAAGACCAAAATCTTTCTGTGATACCACATATATATACACATATGTAAAGGTACTTAGTTACATACAGATCAAGCAGAACCTTGGTGGTAAAAAAAAAAAAAAAATTACATACAGAAAAAGTAAATAAATAATAAGCAGACAGCTTAATAAAATATCACAAAGTGAAGATATCTATGTAACTACCATCCAGATCAAGAAATATAGTATCACCAGCACCCCCAGAAGCTTCTTATCCTCATGCCCCCTTGTCACAACTCCTTGCAAAGTATTATGACTTGTGTCACCATCTATTAATTTTATCTGTCCTTAAAAGATATTGGTTGAATGAATGAAGAAATGAAGGCTAAACTTAATCTATCCCCACCTTTCTCACAAGTAATACAAAGATCTTAGTATGTTTTAACTCCAATCATCTTCCTCCCCACTTAAACACTATCATTGCCCAGTGTTTTGGTTCTAACTTTTTAAATCCCCAAATGAATCGTTATTTTCACTAGTTAGTGTTTATATTTACCCACATATTTGCCCCTTTTATTCCCTCTACTTTGTTTCTTTCATCCTAGCCCCTCCTTCAACCCAATTTTCTTCTTACTAAAAAACCTTTTTTAGTGGCTCTTTCAGCTACTGGCCAACTTGGTATCTTTGTGTAAAAATGTCCTAGCCAGGCATAGTGGCTCCCCACCTGTAATCCCAGCTACTCAGGAGGCTGAGGCAGAAGAATTGCTTGAGCCCAGGATTTTGAGAGCAGCCTGGACAACATACTGAGACCCCATCTCTATTAAAAAAAAAAAAAAAAATTAGCCAGGCATGATGGTGCATGCCTGTAGTCCCAGATACTCGAGGGGCTCAGGCAGGAGGATCTCTGGAGTTCAGGAGTTCGAGGTTGCAATAAGCTATGATCGTGACACTACCCTAGCCTGGGTAATGGACCAAGACCCTATCTCTAGGCCAGGCGTGGTGGCTCATGCCTGTAATCCTAGCACTCTGGTTGGTTGAGGCAGGAGGATCACTTGAGCTCAGGAGTTCAAGACTAGCTTGAGCAAGACCAAGACCCCATCTCTACCAAAAAAAAAAAAGAAAAATTAGCTGGGCATCATGGCACGCACCTGTAGTTCCAGCTACTCAGGAGGCTGAGCAGGAGGATCACTTGAGCCCAGGAGTTTGAGGTTGCAGTAGATGTGGTAATGCCACTGCACTCTACCCAGAACGACGGAGTGAGACACTGTCTCAAAAAAAAAAAAAAAAAAAACCTAAAATAAAGATATTTGCTCTCAAAATAATTTTAATTTATAGGTAATCTTTCTTTTCTGGTTATTTTTTGAGATTACATATATATACAATTTTTTTTTTTGAGACAGGGTCTGTCTCTATCACCCAGCCTAGAGTACAGTGGCATCATCACAGCTCACTGCAACCTCAAAATCCTGGGCTCGAGTGATCCTCCTACCTCAGTCTCCCAAGTAGTGACTATAGGCGTGTGCCACTATACCCAGCTAATTTTTCTATTTTTTGTAGAAAGGGATCTCGCTCTTGCTCAGGCTGTTCTTGAACTCCTGGCCTCAAGCAATCCTCCTGCCTTGGCCTCCCAAATTGCTAGGATTACAGGCATGAGCCACTGCTCCTGGTCTTAAGATTATATTTTTATATATAATGTTCTAGTTTCAATATTCTATATCTAAATGTGAATTTATTTTTATTTATGTTACTTGGCATGAAAATTCATGTTTGGCATAAATTCTGAAAATTTTAGTCATTATTTCTTTGAATACTGCTTTTCTTCCATTTCCTCTGATCTTTCCTGGAACTCTTATGAAATATATGTTGGATGTTCATGTCTCTTGAACTCTCATTTTTATTACCAATATGTTATCTCTCTGTGCTGTCTTCTGTGTAATTTTTTTA